TTACCACCAGCGAATATGCAACCATCATTCAAATGATTACAAACGATGAATTCGAAGCGAAAACGTTCAATGGAAATTGTGAGAAACGCTGCGACTCAGATTCATGGTATGAGGAAGATGAGATTGAATGCGATCGATTGCTCTCGATTTACTATTCCACCAAACCATACTTTTTGAGAAATCTGGAAACAACCAAGTTCTCCACCAACAAACCGCTTTTGCTAAAATTCATCACTCTAAGTTTAATAAAAAGATATTCCAGCGGCAAATATATTAATTGTGGAGATGTTCCAACCGAAATAACCATCGTCGAAGTGACCGGTACCGGTGATTCCAAAAAAGAAGTTGAGAAATACATTGGAAAAGCAAACTTGGAGAGTGTAATATCTACATATGTTGGTATTCTCAAACCGATTCTTGTGAAACCAGGATTCATGTACGAAATACGATTGAAACAAAATCCTCCAGAAAATTGTGCTACGGGTGCTCTACTGAAATCGGAAGTTCAAATGGATGACGGTATCACCATCCAATTTCATGATGACCCATTGATTCCAGATGATATATCATCAACTGGTCTTGTATATGGTCTTGATTTCTACCGAATTCGAGAACATGACATAGAAGAAAATTGATCATTTTGATTTCATGTTTCACTGAAGCTATTAAGATTTTTAACGTTACAAAACTTGACAAAAAAAACTGTTACAAATAAAATAATGAAACATAACTTACCTATAAACTGAGCTGAATCTAATCGCTGGAACATTGTTTTTGATCCCAATTTTTTCCACAATCGGTCGACATTTTAGGTTTAAAACGCCCAAATTCGGGAGCAAAAAGCTTTTGAATTTCGGCGAGACTCTTCATCCAATTGACCTCGTTTTAGTGTCATAATGGGCTGTCATTTCATCCTTCGAAATGTTTCTCTACGATTTGAATTAAGAATTTATGTAAGTCCTTCACAATAAAAACAATCACAATGAAAAAGAGAAGAATTGATACATGGAAACAAATCGGTTACGTTTACTTTATTGCATTTTTATTGGCTAAATTAATTTTTTTCAATGCATTATTTCAAAACTGGAAAATATTTTAAGATCAAATTGTTCGAAAGATCAGTTCATAAATTAATCCTCTTGCCATTGTTGGATCACCTTCAAGAGTGGAGTCACGATGGATGCCAGATTTCAATTGGACTCTTGATTTCATCAAAATACCAGTGACAAGCTTCTGATTTAGTCTGTTCCAACTCAAATACATAAGTAAAACCAGATCTAATGAGGATTGGTTTAGCTACGAACTTGGCTACATTGTACATTTCCCCGAGATTCATCACTGCAGCAGCGTTTTCCATCGTCGTTTTTATTCTACAAATCAAAGCCATGAGAGTGTGTACTAATCTGAACAGCTTAATAACATTGAATTAAATGTCTCCGTTTGTCAGATCAAGATTTGTTGAGGTTGTGTGAGTCCGTTCATTTGTGTTTGATGTTCATCATAGTGTTGCCAGAGGAACGAAATGGAGAAACTAAGCCATTCAAGAAAAAATGCCATACCGTGATTCATCGCTGTGTGTTGCGTGTGTCACACACTGAACCCGAACCCAAACGTCAAACCAAAAATCATCACTTGTGCACAATCGTTCCGTATTTGTTATCTAAACGACTGAAAAGCGTGATTAATTCCCAAAAAAATCGTAATTCCACAATTTCGCCAAGGAAATCACGCGCTTGTCCACTGTGTGTCCAGAGACAACAATAAATTAGAGGTAAAACTACACTCACACAGTTCATTACATCGAATTTTGCAAATTAACATGAGAATTATGCATAAAAGAATTAATGATTTGATTCAATTGGAATAAAATATATCATATTGAATCTAAAAATTCATTTTTCCTCAGGTAAATCACCGAATTTCGTCATATCGATCGAAAATAACCTCAACCATATTGCAAATTAGCGATTGAAGGTAAAGTTGAAAGTGAATTTCTATGTTTATTTCTCAGCTCATTCGTTGTTTTCAAATTCAACTCAATTCAAGATCAATTCAAAATCATTGAAATGTGTAACATTTTACATCGTTTGATTTTACAGCACTTTGCCGCAATGGGAAACCAATCAGCAAGGATGTCAGTTTTTGATCCACTAAACAGTGACTATTCAAGTCAGTTGTTTGCAGCGATTGGAAGAAAGTTGTACTTGAGTTCCGAATTGGCCGATGTTCACTTTGTTTTCGGAGAAAATGATGACAACGAACGAGTCCCGGCGCACAAAATCCTCTTGATGGCTGCGAGCGATGTCTTTGCCACAATGTTCAATGGATCGTGGAAAGAGAAAGATGAGATGAAGATTACCGATGTTTCTGCTGTCGCCTTCAAGGAATTTCTACAGTTTTTCTACTTTGGTTAAGTCAAGCTGACAATGGAAAACGTCGGTGCGGTGATGAATCTTGGCGAAAAGTACAACGTGGCCAAGTGTTTGGTGGTGTGCAGCAAGTTCCTGAAGAATAATCTCAACGCAGGCAATGTCTGCCGCTACTATGGATTGGCAATCTTGCTTAATCAATGGAGTTTGAAAAAAGCATGCGAAGTTTTCATTGGATCGAATATCAAAACAGTGTTCAAGTCAACAGGCTTCCTGACATGTGATCAACAGATGCTGGCTCAAATACTGAAGCTGAATTGGATGTTATGCTCAGAGGTTGAGCTAATCGAGGCATGCATGTCGTGGGTCAGAACGTCAAGCAAAAAAGAGTTTTTAAGCAAAAGGCTAATGCGAGCACACCTTGGTGACTTGTTCCATGAATTTCGCTTCGGTTCGATGACATTGCAGGAGTTTTCGTCATTGATCCCGTCCGGCCAGTTTTTCAATGCAAGCGAATATGGAACGATCATTCAAATGATTGCAGACGATGATTTCGAAGCGACAAGTTTCAACGGGAATCGTGAGAAACGCTTCGACTCAGACCCATGGAATGAGGAAGATGAGATGTATTGCTATCGATTGCTTTTGCCATATAGATCGCCTAAACCATATTTGCTCAAAAATCTGGAAACAACCAAATTCTCCACCAACGAACCACTTTTGCTAAGAGACTTCTCTATTGCTCGTATCTTTGAATATCGTGAACGAAAATACATCGATTGTGAAAATGTTCAAACCGAAATAAGCATCGTGGAAGTGTCCGGTTCCGATGATTCCAAAAAAGAAGTGGAGAAATTCAATGGAAACGCAAACATGAAGAGTACAACGTCTACAAAGGTCGAGATACCCGAACCAATTCTGATCAAACCAGTGGCCTAATTCATAAAAGTCGTTCGGCACCGAACGCACCGAACGCGTTCGATATTTTGTGATTTTGTCTACCGAACGTAATTCATAGAGCTGCGAACGCGTTCGGGTTGCAGCAATATAGAAATACATTGAAGACCGAACGTGTTCGGCATTGATTTGGCCGAACGTGTTCGGACACCGAACGCGTAAGCGGGAAATATGTCTTCCTATTTGACGTTTAAGTTTCATTAATTCATCGCACCGGCTTATCATCACTCTTCGCGTAAGTTTTTGTTTATTAATTTATTTTTCTGTGAGAAATTATTTAATTTTTTTGAAACTATTTTTTTAAAATTTAAGAATGAGCAAAAGAGCAGCAAAAAAACGAAAGAATGAAGCGATTGATTCGGAGACTGATGGCGAATCAAATTCGCCACAACCGAAAGAGCTCGCACAAGATCAAAAAATGACCGTTCTACATAAATGCATCCCACATGCCAGTATTTTGCTCGCCAAACAAGGTGTGTCGTTTTCGCGAGAGGCGCAAAATAATGTTTGGAACGACATCGCGGAAGAATGTGCAAACGATGGCATCGATGTTGGTGATGGTATCAAACTGAAAAACACCGTCAGGAATTGGTTCAATCCTGTCACAGTAAGTTTTTTTTTCATCGGGGAGTGTTTTGAATAGTATTGTAGGTTTTCATTTCTTTATTTTCAGAAAAAATATGATGAAATCACAAAAACTGGGACGGGAAAATCAACACCATTCACCGAATTCCAAAATCTGTGTTTGGATGTTTTGCGTGCTGCGAAAGGTACCACAACATTGGACGGCATACGAAATGCGCCCGAAGTTAGCGGCACCAACGAAACGTCATTTGGTACAACAATCACTGAATCGGCTCCAAGCACATCGGCCGCAACAACAACAACAACAGCAACAGCGTCAACACCGAAAAAACCACAATCAACAAAAAAGGTAAAAGTTGCCAACAGTGAATGCGTCCCGAAGAAAAATGAATTTCTCTCGTCGCTCACTTCGATTGATTCCGAAAGAAACAGCCGTGAAAAAGGGGAATACGAGCTACGAAAATATAGCCTTCTGTTGGATGTGATTAAAAAAGAACAAGAGATGAATCTGACACCACAACAAATCGCATTTCTACGAAATGCTGTTGTCGATGACAATTTAAATAATTTGCCAACCGCTCATTCGATTCAAAATATAACAGAAGAAAACACTGAATTTTTGTTCATTGATGAGCTCGGAAATGTGTTGGACAGTAATGATTCAGCATAAAAGGATAAGTGATACATTGTGTTCAATCTTACCAAAGGCTATCTAAACAACAGAATTTTTTGAATGATTTTTTGATTTATTATTTTTGAATGGCTTTTCATTCATTTTTTGTTAATTAGTTTATCCAAATATTTCACGGAGAATGAAATCGAATAGTATATTTATGTCGACTTTTGACATGTTATCGCATTTTTGAAGCGAAATCCAAATATTTACATAGTTATGAAACATGAAAGACTGAATGAACTGAAAATATTATATCGAGAAGTACTAAATAAAAGAATTTGCATTATAGGCGAAATGATTTTTGAATTTTTTTTATTAAAGTTTCCCGACCGAGGTGAGAACAATTAACTTAGCATTTAGTTTAGTGTCTCAAAATGTGCATTTTGGTTTTTGATGTATTTTCGTGAACTTTCTTAAAAAGGGTTATTAAAATAATTGATGTATTCTCGCTGACGTTGAGCTCCGTTGGGCCGATTAGGAATTTGGTTGACATTTCGTTGACCAAAATCATTGTCTTCATCTTCATCATCGTCATCGTCATCGTTTCCATTTTCAATTCTGTTTGCAATTCTTTCCAATCTCGCATCATATCGATAAGAACCGTGGCGATAATTATTTTGGATGTTGTGAAGAGTTACACATGCCATTATAATACGAGAAATATTAGTAGGCGATCGAACCCGCATTTGGTTAAGACACGGAAATTGTTCGCGCAAAACCCCGATCGAATTCTCTACTTTGAATCGTGTTTTACGATGATTTTGCCTATACATTTCGATACCAACTGCCAACTCAGGCCGTATATTTTGTTGCAAAATTGTGGGCGTCAGAAGCCAATTCATTGAAGGATATGCTGAGTCACCAAGTATAACAGCATTTCTAAATGGACGCCAGTGATTGGTCTCCCATGATCTCCACAACGAGGAAACACGAAGTGCGCGTGCATCATGTACACTTCCCGGAGACTGAGCCGTAGCATAGAAAAATTGTAATTGTGGTCCACAAACGACGGTAAGATTGATTGAATGATGATTGTGTCTATTGACAAACGCTGCTTCATCGACTCCACTGGGTGCATCAATTTTGATATGAGTACCATCAATAAGGCCGGCAACATCTTTTGACACAAAAATATAGATTCAGTTTTTGCTTAAGCAATAACAAAGTTTTCTTTGTTATGGTCATACATACCGGGGAAATTTGCTATTCTAAAGAACTGAATCGGAATGTTAGTTGTATCATTTGGCCACTTAACGAAACGAGCGAGAAGATGTGTGCATATTGCACTTGAAACACGATGTACAACACGGCAAACAGTTGGCTCGGATATACCGTGACAATATAACATTGTGTGGTATTGACTACCATTCCCGTACCAATGAAGAGCGGTAAGAAGTTGTTCTTTTGGGGATAATGCATGATTTCTCTCCGTCTCGTGTTGAATGTGCAATCCAATTATCATCAAAATGTATTCGGCAACATCCATGTCAACACGAAAGGCCTCGCGAAATGTGGTGTTGTTTTGGAAAATTTCCATATTAACTCTCTCTCGAAATTCACGAGGTCGTCGAGCGTTTTCATGTAATTCCTCATCGGAATCATCCAAAAGAAGAAATGCTAGAATATTACGATTCTAATAACAAGAAAATGTGAAATCAATTCGACCTTTTTTCAATTAATAATATTTTTCTTACCATTTTTTTATAGAAAATAGGAACAAAAATATTTTTAAACAAATCAACATAAACAAAAGACAGACACACACAAAAACCTACATATTTGTTCACGTATAAATGACATAAATATTTGTGCTCGTCGAACGTGTTCGCTATTTATCGAACGTACTATCTAATATGTTCGATAAAACACCGAACCGTTCGGTGATTTTGAAAGAAGCGCCGAACGAATTTGCGAACGCGTTCGGATGCGTTCGATTGAGCTGTATTTAAAACCATTGAATTAGATCGAACGGGTCCTTTATGAAACACGTTCAGTGTGTTTGAACGCACCGAACGTACCGAACGAGCCGAACGCGTTCGCTTCTTTTATGAATTAGGGCACAGGATTCATGTATGAAATACGATTGAAGCAAAATCCCCAGGAAAATTGTTTTACGGGTGCTCTACTAAAATCGGAAGTTCAAATGGATGACGACATCACCATCCAATTTCATGATGACCCATTGATACCGCGCTATATTTTACCAACCGGCTTAATAAACAAACTTCATTTCTACAGCATTGAGGAATATGCCATGCAAGAAGAATGAGAATTTCGATTATACCTTTCACTGAACCTATTTTATAGATGATACAATGCTACGAAAACGGTTATTAATTAAAAAAAATGCAACATTTCGTTTCCTTTAATATTTAATCCATAAAACATATTTTTAACTTCAATTGCTCATAACAATTGTTATTTTAGGTTTAAAACCCCCAAATTTGGGAGCAAGAAGCGTTTGAATTTCATTTGCATCGGCGACTCAATTGAAACACTTGAGCTATCTTTAAACTCGATAGAATCCATAGAAGAAAGATGAGTCCTCTGGTCGAATCTGACATTGGGCTTAACTGAAGTGTGAAGTCGAAATGAAGAACGGCAATACTTTTGCTGATGCAATCAAATAGCATTATTCGCTGTCAAATATACCGGCAGCAGTTCTATACAATGCCGTGTCTTATCACTCCGCACTAATACTACCATGCATATTGAGCGAAACCTAAACGTCAAACGAAAAACCATCACTTGTTGTCAAACGTTCCGTATTTTTTATCCAAACGACTGAAGAACGTGATTAATTTCCAAAAAAAATCATATTTTTCCTGATAATTTCGTTGAATCTTTCCGAATTAAAAATATTTTGCAACACAACAAATTGGTTCTAGTCAAGGGACAGAATAATTCCACAGTTCAATCGAACAATCAGGCACTTGTTCATTGTGTTCCAGAGACAACAATAAATTGGAGGTAAAAACACACTCACACAGTTCATCACATCGAATTTTGCAATTGACATGAAAAATATGCGTAGTGGAATGAATGATTTGATTTGATTGAAAAGCAAATATAAATTGCATCTAGAAATTCTTTTTTTTCTCAGAAAAATCGACGAATTTCGTCACAGCCATCGAACATAACCTCAACCGCATTACTAAAATTGGCAATTGAAGGCAGAATACAATGTGAATGTCTATGTTTATTTCTCAGCTCATTCTTTGTTTTCAAATTCAATTCAAAACTGATACCAAATCATAACGTTTTTTGTCGTTTATTTTATAGCACTTTGGATTTGCCGCAAAGGGGAAACCAATCAGCAACAATGCTAGTTTTTGATCCACTAAACAGCGACTATCCAAGTCAATTGTTCTCGGCGATTGGAAGAAAGTTGTACTTGAACTCTGAATTGGCCGATGTTCACTTTGTCTTCGGACCGAATGACCACTACGAACGAGTGCCAGTGAACAAAGCTCACTTGATGGCGGCCAGCGATGTCTTTGCCACAATGTTCAATGGATCGTGGAAGGAAAAGGATGAGGTGGAGATTGCTGATACATCTGCTGCTGCCTTTAAGGAATTTCTACAGTTCTTCTACTTTGGACAAGTCAAGCTGACGATGGAAAACGTCGGTGCGGTGATGAATCTCGGCGAAATGTACAACGTGGCCGAATGTTTGGCGGTATGCAGCAAATTCCTGAAGAACAATCTCAACGAAGAAAATGTCTGCCGACACTATCGATTGGCTATTCTTTTCAATCAACACAAACTGAAGCAGTCATGTGAAACGATCATAGGCTTCAATACAAATTCTGTGTTCAATTCAACGGATTTCCTGGCATGTGATCGAACAGTATTGGCCGAGATTCTGGAGCTGGACTGGTTGTCATGTACAGAAGTTGAGCTATTCGAGGCGTGTATGTCGTGGGTCCGAGCGTCAAGCAAGAAGGATGTTTTAAGCAAGAGCCTGATGCGAGCTCACCTCGGCGACTTGTTCCATGAAATTCGCTTCGGTTCAATGTCATTCCAGGAGTTTTCGTCATTGATCCCGTCATACGGCCAGCTTTTCAATGCAAGCGAATATGGAACCATCATTCAAATGATTGCAGACGATGATTTTGAAGGGACAAGTTTCAACGGGAATCGTGTGAAACGCTTCGACTCAGACCCATGGAATGAGGAAGATGTGATAATTTGCAATCGATTGCTCATGAATTACAAATCGATTAAACCATACTTTCTGAAAAATTTGGAAACAACCAAATTCTCCACTAACGAACCACTTTTGCTGAAAGACTTCGCTATGGCTCGGATCTCTAAACATCGAAACGGCAAATATAATAATTGTGAAGATGTTCCAACCGAATTTACCATCATCGAAGTGTCCGGTTCCGGTGATTCCAGAAAAGAAGTGGAGAAATACAATGGAAAAGCAAACTTGGAGAGTGCAACGTCTACATATGTTGGTATTCTCAAACCGATTCTGATCAAACCAGGATTTATGTACGAAATTCGATTGAAGCAAAATCCTCCAGAAAATTGTTCAATTGGTGTTCGATTGAAATCGATGGTTCAAATGATGGACGGTATCACCATCCAATTTCACGATGACCCATTGGTTCGGGGTGATATATCATCAACTGGTCTTGTATATGGTATTGATTTCTACCGCATTGAATAATAAGACATGGAAGAAGATTAAGCATTTCGATTGTACCTTTCACTGAACATTTTTTGTAAATGACGTTTTTAACGTTACGAAACCAGTTATTGTTTATAAAATAATGCAAAATTACATTTCCTCAAATTCATGAGTTGAATTTAAACGATAAAACGATGTTTTTGATTTGCATTTTTCACAATTGGTGGACATTTTGGGTAAAACACCTCCGATTCCAAAATTCCAACGCTATTCCAAAACACATTTGTATCCTCAATACTTTTCAATAAAATTTCAGACGTTTAGAGTATGTTTCTAAAAGGGATCCAAACTCATGTGTATTTCGAAAAATAATTCAATGGACAAATGGACACTTGACTATTGTTGGAATCGGTAGATTGCATATGCGATTGCTAAAACTTGATGGACCAAAAATTACTTCTGATTTGCAATAAATCTGTGAATTTCATTCTGTTATGTTACATTATGAATGTTGTATTCTGTTTGCGTGTGTGTTCGAGAGAGTTTGCTTAAAGGGCAGTGATTCCATATTCCGAAATGATCTCATTTGAGAATATATGAAAGTCCTTCGTAATTTAAACAATTGGAAATAAATAATAAGAGGAAACAAATGAGTTACGTTTATTATCAATCATTTTTATTGGCGAAAATAATTTGTCATTTGATTCATTTGAGAATTCATTATTATTGAGAGAAAAAAAACTACAAAAAAACGTTTTAATCAATTGTTTGGAAGATCAGTTCAAAAATAATACCCCTTGCTATTTTTGGATCACCTTCAAGAATGGCGTTGCGATGGAACTGTATAATTATGCCGGATTTCAATTCAACACTTGACTTCAATAAATTGCCCGTGCAACAGCCACTCGGTACGGTTTGTTTTTTTCGAATTTCATACGTAAAACCAGGTCTAATGATAACTGGTTTAGTGAGGAATATACGCAAATCTTCTGTAGATTTTAGAATTCCATTTGTATCGTAAAGTATAACTTCGTCATTTAGATCGCTCACTTCTACGATCGTTATGTTTGTTGGAACGCCATTTTCAAGCACCAGATATTGATTTTGGACAGAAATTCTCACCATAACACAACCGATCGCACGAAGCAAAAGAGTTTCGTTGGTTGAGAAGACAGTTGTCTCTAAGTTTTTGATTTCATATGGTTCAAACGAAGGAAATTGAGAAATTATTCGTCTACAGTAAATGTCATCACTTGCACTCCATCGTTCCGGGGATGTGTATCTTTCCATACGGTTTCCATCGAAGATTGTTGGCGGGAATGTTGGGTCTGCTATCATTTGAATGATTTCTTGTTGCTCGTCAAACGATAATGTATTTCCATACGTTGGAATCAGTGCAGCGAACGCTTGCAAAGACATTGAACCGAAGCGAATTTCATGGAACAAGTCGCCGAGATGAGCTTGTACGATCTCCTTGGTTAAAACATTCTGCTTGCTAGCTTCTTTGACCCAAGACATGCATGCCTCGAAGAGCTCAATCTCAGTGCATGACATCCAATTCAGCTTCAGTATTTGAGCCAGCATCTTTCGATCACATGCCAGGAAGTCTGTTAACTTGAACACTGCTTTAATATTCACTCCAATGAAAAATTCACATGCTTTCTTCAAGGTCTCTTGATTTAACAGCATTGCCAATCTATAGTCCCGAAAAATACTGTTGTTGTTGAAATTGTTTTTCAGGAACTTGCTGCACACCGCCAAACACTCGGTCACATTGTACATTTCGCCGAGATTCATCACTTCAGCGATGTTTTCCATTGTCAGCTTGACTTGGCCAAAGTAGAAAAACTGGAGAAATTCTTTGAAAGCAGTAGCTGATACATCGCCAATCTTCACCTTATCCATCTCTTTCCATGATCCATTGAACATTTTGGCGAAGACATCGCTGCCAGCCATCAAGTGAGCTTTGTTCGCCGGCACTCGTTCGATGTCATCATCTGATTCGAAGACAAAGTGAACATCGGCCAGTTCAGAGTTCAAGAACAACTTTCTTCCAATCGCCGCGAACAGTTGACTTGAATAGTCGCTGGTTAGTGGGTTGAACACCGACATCTTTTGCTCAAACGTAAAATTCTGTTGAATTGGGGAAAAAAAACAATGTAATAGGTACTCAAAACAAATTGAATTACTATAGACCTAATAACTTCAATCATATCCAATGGAACATTTACAGTTATAGGGAACCGAACAGTGACACTCACAATGTTTTTGGCTTAAACTCGATCACAAAAACTGCGTTTACGCAATACCTATCAATTGGACGTACGATTTGAATTTTTATTAAAAACAGAACTTTTTATAGCTAAATAATGACTAAAGTCATTTATGAAATCTATTTATTTGGAGATTTTCCTACGAATCAAAGACAGTTCTTAACAGCTTAATGACACTGAATCAAATGTCTCCGTTTGACAGATCACGATGTGTTTAGATTGTGTGCATTCATTCATCTTTATGTTTGTCGTTGTGTTGCCAGAGCAACAACCGATATATCGCTGTGTACTGCATGCGTCACACACTGAACTAAACCCAAACGTCAAACGAAAAATCATCACTATTTCACAATCGTTCCATATTTGTTATCGAAACGATTGAATAACGCAATTATTTTCCGAATAAATCATTCTTTCGTGATAATTTCGTTGAATTTTTTCCAATAAAATAAATTGGCTCCATCAAAGAGACAGAATAATTCCAAAATTTTGTCGGAAGAAAATCACGCGCTTATTCATTGTGTGTCCAGAGAAAAACAATGAATAGAAGGTATAAAAACACACTCACTCAGTTCATTCACATCGAATTTTGCAAATTAACATGAGAATTATGCTTAGTAGAATAAATCTAAGAATAAATGATTTGATTTAATAATTGGAAATAAAATATCATATTGCATCTAGAAATCCATTTTTCCTCAGATAAATCACCGAACCGTCACATCGATCGAACATAACCTCAACCACTTCACCAATTAGCGACTAAAGGTAAAATTGAAAGTGAATTTCTATGTTTATTTCTCGGCTTTTTGGTTGTTTTCAAATTCAATTCAATTTAAGACTAATTCCAAATCATAACATTCTTTGATCTTTGTCATTGATTTTACAGAACTTTCGATTTGCCGCAAAGCAAGAAACCAATCAGCAATAATGCCAGTTTTTGATCCACTAAACAGTAACTATTCAAGTCGGCTGTTTCCGGCGATTGGTACAAAGTTGTACTTGAACTCTGAATTGGCCGATGTTCACTTTGTATTCGGAGCTAATGATGACTACGAACGAGTCTCAGCGCACAAAATGCTTTTGATGGCGGCCAGCGACGTCTTTGCCACAATGTTCAATGGAACATGGAAGGAGAAGGATGAGGTGGAGATTACCGATGCATCTGTTGCTGTTTTCAAGGAATTTCTCCAGTTTTTCTACTTTGATCAAGTCAAGTTGACGATGGAAAACGTCACCGCAGTGATGAATCTCGGTGAAAAGTACAACGTAGCCGAGTGTTTGACGGTGTGCAGCAAGTTTCTGAAAAACAACCTCAACGACGAAAATGTCTGTCGAGACTATGGATTGGCAATCTTGCTCAATCAATGGAGCTTGAAGAAAGCATGCGAAGTTTTCATTGGATCGAATATCAAAACAGTATTCAAGTCAACAGGCTTTCTGACATGTGATCAACAGATGCTGGCTCAAATACTGCAGCTGGATTGGATGTTGTGCTCAGAGGTTGAGCTATTCGAGGCATGCATGTCTTGGGTTAGAATGTCAAGCAAAAAGGATGTTCTAAGCAAGAGGATGATGCGAGCTCATCTCGGCGACTTGTTCCATGAAATTCGCTTCGGTTCAATGTTATTCCAGGAGTTTTCGTCATTGATCCCGTCATATGGGCAGTTTTTCAATGCTAGCGAATATGGAACCATCATTCAAATGATCGCAGACGATGAATTCGAAGCGACAAGCTTCAACGGGAATCGTGAGAAACGCTGCAACTCATATCCATGGATTGAGGAAGATGAGGTGCGTTGTAATCGATTGCTTTCGCGGTATAAGTTGAATAAACCATATTTTCTGAAAAATTTGGAAACAACCAAGTTCTCCACCAACGAACCACTTTTGCTTAGTGACTTCACTCTTGACCGCATTTATGAATATGCTGGACAAAAATATTATTATTGTGAAGATGTTCTAACCGAAATAACCATCGTCGAAGTGTCCAGTTTCGATGGTTCGCACAAAGAAGTGGAGAAATTCAATGGAATGGCAAACATTAATAACTCAAGCGTTACAAATGTCGAGATTCCCAAACCAATTCTGATCAAACCAGGATTCATGTATGAAATTCGGTTGCAGCAAAACCCTCCAGAAAATTGCGCCATTGGCCTTATTCTAAAATCCAAAGTTCAAGTCGGGGATGGCATTACCATTCAATTTCATGATGACGCATTGATGCCGCGTGATACTACACCAACCGGCTTAATATACAAACTTCGTTTTTACCGCATTGAAGATTGAGCTTTTTTTGCTGTACCTTTCACCAAATGTTTTTTCAAATGACAATTTAATTGTTACTAAATCAGTGATAAATACGTTTCTTCGAATTTATGAGTTGCATTTTATCGATTAAGCGATGTTTTTCACTTCAATTTTTCACAATCACTTAACATGTCTGGTTTAACACACCAAAATTCGTAATCAAAACGCTATTTCAAAAGACAAGTATATTCTGAGTTTAGAGTATGTTTTTAAAAAGGAACCAAACTCATGTGCATTTTGATAACTGACCATAGGCCTATAGCTCGTTCTGAAGATCGCTTGGTTTTTTTTTTAATTCATCGATTTTTTTTTGTTATGTTACATTATGTAACTTGTCAAAAAGGCTGTCATTCCATATTCCAAAACAATTCTCAGTGTCAAGTCCTTTTGTACAACACTGAGTGTGAATATATGAAAGTCCTTCGTAATTTATACAATAGAAATGGAAAGGGAAACAATGGAAACAAATGAGTTACGTTTATCATCAATCATTTTTATTGGCTAAATAAATTTTTCATTTGATTCATTTGGAATTCATTATTATTGAAAAAAATTACAAAAAAAAAATGTTTTCATCAATTGTTTGGAAGATCAGTTCAAAAATTAATACTCTTGCTTTTGTTAGATCATCTTCGAGAATGGAGTCACGATGGAACTGTATAATTATGCCGGAATCCAATTCAATTCTAGACCTCATGAAAAAGCCCGTGCCACACGATTCAGATGGCATTTGTTCCAATCGAATTTCGTACGTAAAACCAGACCTAACGAGGACTGTCTCAGTTAGGAATATACGGGCAGATTCTGCAGATTTAAGAACTCCATTTGCATTGGAAAGAATAAATTTGTTGTTAAATTCGCTCACTTCTGCTATAGTTATGATGGTGGAAATGCCGTTGTTGAGTGCCCGATATCGATCACTGGTATTTTTACTTTTTACTTGAGCGCCTAAAACCGCTCGAAGTGAAAGTAATCCGTTCGTTGAGAAGGTAGTCGTTTCAATGTTTTTGATTTTATATGATTTAGATTAACGAAGGCACGAAAATAATCGATTACAGAAAATGACATTATTTCCATTCAATCGTTCCAGAGTCCAATGGTCTCTTTCCACACGGTTTCCATCGAACATTGTGAGCGAGAATGTTGGGTCTGCAATCGTTTGAATGATTTCTTGTTGCTCGTGAAACGAAAATGTATTTCCATACGTTGGAATCAGTGCAGCGAACGCTTACAACGGCATTGAACCAAAACGAATTTCATGGAACAAGTCGCCGAGATGAGCTTGTACAATCTACTTGGTTAAAACATTTTGCTTGCTAGCTTCTTGGACCCAAGACATGCATGCCTCGAACAGCTCAATCTCAGTGCATGACATCCAATTCAGCGAGTTTTCCATTCGGCCCATGCGATTCTGCTATCCATAGGTTATTCTATATTAGCCCAATTGTCAGAAATGTTCCCATCACTTAATATTTAAAACACTCAATATCCATTGAACATCCATTGAATATCCATTGAAGATCCATCCAACATCCAATGGATGGATGGATTTGGAAACTTATGACCGCTAGCCAAAAAGGAGAGGTGAGATTTGATCATGGATTTGATTGAAACTTCACCACGAACACACGAATACAAGCTCACGATTGAAAAATTCGTAAGTAGCATTTGGAGAATTTGGAATTCATTCACACTTTGGAGAGAAGGAGAGTGGGGAAATTTGAATGAAATCATTTGATCGAAACGTCATCACGAACACAATCCCGCGAATTAATTTTCACTCACACACTCACAATCGTATTTCATCGCTTCATTGCGAACAAACGCAGAACGATACATTCTTTTCGTTGCGGTCTTCGTTGAGGTCAACACGTTCTACTGCTTTGTTAATATCGCGGCAGCCATTTTTTATTTCAGTGATATATTTGCACATAAGGCAAGAACATTTCGTGTAAGAATTTTGATCAAATATCCGAGAAAATCTTTTACGCGTTTATATTTCAGAATATGAAAATGTGTGAATAAATAATTGAATAGATTTTAAAATTGGTTGGACAAAATTGGGAATAATTAGAAGTAAATAATTGTCTATACCACCAAGTCACGTGGGCCATGCCAAAGCTATGTCCAGAAATTATGTTCCATTGCTCATGAAATCATATACAAATCATTCTCCTCACATTCGCTCTAGCTATCGCGACAAATGATATTTGCTCAAGACAACGAATTATCGAGAACCACGTCGAGGATCATCGAGAACTACGTGTGTTTGTACGATGGCGAGAAGCCATTCCAGTGGAAGTGCCTTTGAAAATTCCTTTCATCGGAATGGCTTTTCGCCATTGTAGACACTTATTTCAACTATCGCCGGAGATTAAGACATCAAGACATTTTAAATGAGAATTAGGAGAGGTACAGGCATATTTGAATACAGTGGGCCCTCGGAAGAGAGTATTTCATTCAATCCAAAATCAAATCCAATCATATGGCTTTGGTCAGAACTTCGGTGATTAATCGGAACGTGGAGCTATGAATTCAATCAAAGATCCTTTTTAGCCTATGTGAAGTCCAACGTTGAGGATTTTTTGTTCAATGGCCGTTCCTGTTTGGTTTTGGATCCATTCAATGAAAAAATGAACAGTTGACACATAAAAATTTCTCTTTTATTTTGTGTGCTAAATGTTTCCTTTTCCCATTTAATTGCACATTCCTATGACCATCGGTATTTGTAAAAGGCATCGTTCGGTTCAAAAGAAGCAAACATCGAGATTCGAGAATTATATGCGTTTGAATAATGCCGAAAATCCATTCCAATGGAAGTGCCTTTGAAAATTCCTTTCATCGGAATGGTTTTTCGCCACAGTGCAAATTCATTTCAACTATTGCTCATTAATCAACAGATCATCACGTAGCGGTTGAAAGAATATAATGTTTTCCTCAATTTAGTTTTCATAATTGAAGTAATCTAATTAACCTAAGAACCAGACAATAGTTTTGCTTTTAGCTTACAAATACCAAATGCCATTATGTTTATATTTTCTGACTCAATCTGACTGGAACAGATAGACAAATCATTCGAGTGGAACGGTTCATAGACGAAAAAGAGCATCCCCGGTATAAAGCAAGAAGTCTAATTACATCGGCCACGCCACCGACGAAATGAATTCATCGCAAACGACAACATTCTCATGCTTCCCATTTCCATCACCATCGTTATTGACAACAATAGCCCACAATACCGACACGTTTTCAATAATGACTCCTCGGTGTCATCAGCAAGCAGAAGATCAAAATATATAAACTAATTCCAATTTTGAGTGGAGTTTAAACACATTCGCTGGCCAGAATTTGTTTTTTTTTTATCTCAGTTCTTTCTAAAAAAAAATCTGGAAAATTCGATTTGAAAGAAATTAGATTTGGTTCGTTCCCCATTAAACTTTTAGTTTTATCACTCTAAAACAGATGATTTCCATTGAGTATTCAATGGACTCTTCAAGCTCCCATTTCCATCTCTTCAAGCTCCGTTCATCGATATTTCTGCGCATTTTATGAGCATTTTAAAACGTTCTAATTAATATATTTGTTGCGTAAAATAGAGTTGCAGATGTTTGTCTCATTGAGGCTGCTACCTTTCTCTTGAATATTTGTTTACAATAAAAATGCAAATTTCGTTCAATTAAAATGTCCCCAATTTGCATATTGGATGTTTTAATTACAATTGTGGAGCAATTGATATGAAAATGTTATTAGAAATTTTGGAACAGTTTAAAATTTAAATGAGATGTGACGCAATTTCTGTAATAAACGAGAAAAAAGTGGATATTTTCTGAACCAAGAATGTCACCTTGACAAATTTACCATTCATTTGCTAAAGCCTTTATTTTGTATTTATATTAAAACTGCCTTTTAATTTGCTAACTCGAATAATTGTGAAATGATGAAACTAAAATGAGTCTTGGCTCAAGAACAATGAACATATGAGATCACATCAAAATAATTAAGACGAGTTTTATTGCAATGGATTGAACATATTTTATTTTCAAAGATAAGTGTCATACAATTTTATTTCATTGGTGTACTACGTGAGCTCAAGTGTACTTGAGCCATTTGTTGCAGCAAAATCAGTCATAAATAAGATTTACGCTTGTGTCGATCCAACTGACTCGGCCGTTTGAGGGGCGGCTTCTACAGCTTGTGGAGCTTCCAACGTGCCATCTCTATGTGCTTCAAGGATTTGAAGACTGAAAAACAATGCCATTTATCAATAATTCAAAAAAGAGTTTATTTTCAATCAATCTTACGCCTTCTTTGATACTTTCAAAAGCATTGGATTTTTTTGTTGATGTTCCAGCAATTCTACATCCTTAGTAGCTATGTATTCTTTCAAAATTGCGATGGCTCTAGAAATAATTACATATTTTACATTGCAAGCTTTAACTGTGTTCAAATATTGAGAATTAAAATGTTCAACCGTCGTAAATTTTGAATAATGAACGTTTTAACGATTCAACATTTTGAATAAAGGAGAATAGAGTTTGCTTCGAATTGTCATAATTCACTTACTCATCACGAAGTTCGATAAAACTTTTAACTCTGCAAAAAAAAATGAAAATTTAATTGATTCGCGTTCCAATAGAACATCCAGATATTGAATATGAATAAATATTCTCATTTTCAAATTCAATGACTTACTCGCGATTCTTAATAGCTTCTTCTGGATCTTCGTTGAGGGCACCGGAATTGATCATACTAGAATTGTCGACGGATTTATTGATCATATTTATGAGAAAAATAATTACACATTTCTCTGGTTTGTAAGCTTTGATATATGTACGTACTATCGAAAACCATCCAAAATGCTTTTCTTGGCCGCGACCTCATCATCGCCATGCAAAATGCTTTTTTTCGCATCCAGTTTATCATCGACTTGGTCGCCTGCACAATGGCTGAGAAACAAAAAATGGAAAAATATTACAAAATGCTGTGAAAAGAAGTAAAATAGTAAATTGGTAGAAAGATTCAGAATTGATTGCATAAACAACAATTGAGGTGAAATTAGAAGAAGCAGAAGAAGAAAAAATTCTGCAAAATCATCTGTCTCTATGAAAAAACTGCCCTGTTCTTCAACAAAAATGGAGGTAGAAATGGTAAAATGCTTACTTGACTCCCAACAGAAGAAGTGAGGCGACGAAGAATAAAAAGATTGCAGATTTCATCTTGAACGTTGTAATAACTTAGCTTTCCTCAACTTATAATTTTTACACGGCGATGGAGTGTCGCCTTTTATACAATTTGCGATTGTATTTTTCTCAAATTTAATAACTCATCAAATGTAATTTATTCCATATTTTCAAATTAGAGTCGACAATTACTTCATTTTAACAAGACTTTCGGGACTTAATTTGCATCGCATGCGACATTTATTAAACCTTGGTACGTTCTCATGACAATTAAAGCAAGAAATTGTCTTTCATGAGACAATTGGGTGCAGCGAAAACAAAGTCATTTATTGAACTCATTAAGTTTTATTCATTGAAGTTCTGCATTTTTAAAACACATTTTAAATTAACCTTTGTCTCGTTTATTGAGTTTTTTTTATTTTTAAATATTGAGGGCAATTTTCCAAAATAGCTAGCTATCATCGGTATATTTTTCTTATAATTTTGGTTCAAAGTTCGAATTTTCTATTTTTTTTCGTTTGTTTATCATTTTAATAACATTGTTTCTCATTGTGATGTTCGAAACCATAAAGGTTCTTTTGAGTATGGTTTTCTTTTTTATTTGATGCTTTGTGGTTTTTTCTCCTGGGAAAATTGATATGAACTAGATATTTGTTGGAATTCAGTTGATTCGAGTTATTGGTCGAGTAAATGAATGAACCAAAAACATTTTATGTAAACAATTTGAAGCTAAAGCAATTCCATAGAAAAGAATCCTAATTTTCAATCATTTTTTTTTCTATTCTTCAAATGAAACTTGTTGGAAAGTTGATCGACACTTTCAATTTTTTACGTTGGAGCTAATTTCGAATTACATGTCTATCAAACTGGTAGGAAAATCAGCTTATAAATCAATCCTCTCATTACTCTTGGATCCTTCTCAATAACGGAGTTGCGATGGAACTGTATGGCTATGCCGGATTCCAATTCAACTGTTGACTTCATAATAGCGCCCGTGCAGCACGATTCAGATGGCGTTTGTTTCAATCGAATTCCGTAAGTAAAACCAGGTCTAATGAGAACTGGTTCGGTTACCGCGATGTGCGTATTTTTCATAGATTTCAGACTTTCGTTTAGATTGTAAAGTATGGCCTCGTTGTTAGGATGGCTCACTTCTACGACAGTTATGTTAGTCGGAACGTCATTTTCAAACTCATAATATTGATCACCGATATTTTTCCATACCCTGGAATAAACGAACCCACGTAGTAGAAGAGTTTCGTTTGTCGAGAAGGTAGTTGTTTCCACGCCTTTGATTTTGTATGGTTTGGACAAATGATATTGAGAAATTAATCGTCGACAGATAATATCATCATCTGCGTGCCATGGTTTTAGGGACTTGCATCTTTCTACGCGATTTCCATCAAAGATGGTTGGCTGGAATGTTGGGTCTGCGATCATTTGAATGATTTCTTGTTGCTCGTCAAACGAGAATGATTTTCCAT